CTTTCCCCACTCAGGTATATATCATCTGGGGCTTGCAGTTGCCCCTCAAAGATGATGAAGTGCGTCATTCCCTCCTTGCCGTTCTCGGCAACTTTATTTGCATCAACACCATTCTATAAAGAAAAAAGATGCAAAAGAACACTTTCAATAAATGTGTTTTCTCAACTGCAGCATAATAAAAGTCAATAAATATTGAAATGGAAAGTTTTGTATGTTCATCCAATTCTTCAGATGGCCCGAACCTATTTATATGCACGTTGGGTATGTTTTTGAATCGCGTTTTTCATTTTTGGCATCCTTAATAAAGAATAGTGCATATTTAAGAAAATGTTGTCTTTTTTTGTGTAGGTTTAACACTGTTTGAGATATCAGCTTATGTTTAAAACCGAATTTTTACAAAAACTGTCAAAAACATCATAGAGATCGGTTGAATGGTTCCTGCCGAAAAACGAATTAGGATTGTAGTACAAGCATGAAAGATTTAACCTGATTAAATGAGGAAATAATGTTTGCCTCATGCTCAACTTAATTCTGTTTGTGAGACTCCTTCACTGAATTGTTTCACTGCAACAGGCATTTCTCGATAAAAGGCAAGTCCAGTGTAACTTTTCCAAACTTTCCTTCCCAAAGGGTTATTAAGTTTTTGGAATCACTGTCCATATTCACATGTACTTTCTGTTCCCGTGGAATCTCTAGGAATGAGTTTGTTACTGCCACAGCACTATCTGAAGAATTGATTGACTTTGTTTTATTTTTTCATCTGCAAATGAAGCAATCTTTCTTTTTTTCACGTTCTGTTTGACGCCAAAGTTGGTGAAACTTTCTTCTTTTTTTTTTTTTGACAGAAGACAGTTTTTTTTCGGTTGTCTGTCTTTTCTTTTTTTTCTAAAACTAGCTCTTCATGAGCGTTTTTCTTTATTTGTTTTATTCCAAGCCTTCTTCGTTTATTTCGAGCTCGTCTCTGACGCCTTTTTGCCTCATCAGATCTTTTCCAACTAAAAAAAAAAAATGCCGCGAATAATAAAAATGTGTTCAAAGGGGCTGGAAGCATTACTGTGAGTGTATTTCCTTTTTCTTAGTCTTTCTTCCGTCCTTTCTCTCTTTTTTGTTTTTCTATCCTTCTTAAGTTTTTCTGATAATTTTAGATAACTATAATTATTACCAGCTATCAATTCATCATGTTCCAAGTAATGAGCGGGCTGGCCTCTCAACTTTGGAGCTAGTTAAAAGCGGAAAATCCAACTTTACATAGCTATGGAAACCCACAACATGATGAATTGAAAGATAAAGGTAAGTTGTTTGGGAATATATATAATTGAGAACCTTACAGACATATTTTAATAATACTTTTTGCAGCCTCGATTATTGTATTACTGAACAGAACCTTACAGTTTTTGGTCTCAGGCACTTTTATCGAAAAAGACAGTATATTGAAGTATCATGGGTAAAATGAATAGGATGGCTGAAAATAATATTTTTCATTACACGTATCTCTTGTGAATGATTGAAAATGTTTATACGTTCTTTTACATTGTATATGGACAGCACACATTGGCAAATTGTGTAGGTGTAACATGAAATAGGTAATGATGTGTTTAGAATTTGCTTACTAATCCAAAACCTCGTTCCCAGGATTCTCTCCTAACCGCTCCGTATAGGTTGACTAATGCATTGTAACTGAGTCTTCTTTCTTCCACTGAACCTAATTCCCCACCCACCCTACCTAAGAAATATGTCAGTATTAACTTGTCTATGTTGCAAGCTTCTCATTGCTAGTAAATTCCCTATATATAATATTGTCTCTTTTGTTATAGTTTGGATTTTCCATAATTGATCGGATTGCAGGAAAAAAAGCTTACAATAAAGGACCACATGCACAAAATTTGCAAATCCCTCCCTTCTACTCCCTAGCCGTTTTCATATAAAATGAAATGATGTTTGTGACAGTCACTGGCCCTTTGGAAGTGTAAATAGGTTCTCACCTCTTTTTATCAACTGTTGGGGTGCTAGATGCCTCGCCAACTGTTTCAGCATTAACGGCTTCTTGTGCAGGTCGCGCTTCGGTAGACACTTCGTGAATTATCCGAACTTCAGTGCTTTTATCAAGTCAAGTTTTCGTACCTTGTGAGGAAGATTAGCAGAACGCCAGCAGGGGGCACGAGGGTCTTCAGGGTCTCCTCATTCATGCACAACCGAACCTGTTCAGCTTTGGAAGTTAAAAAGTAAAGAGTTAAGAAAGGAAAATTAAAGTTTTTAAAGCTAAACTTTCAGGCCTTAATTAATATAATGCGAAGTAAAAACGTCAACGTGTTCCGTTATTTCGCGCCAAAAGTGCATTTTCAGTTGGGAACTTTTGTTAGATGGGGAATCAAAAGAAAGATGTATCAGAACACCGTTTTACGAATTGTAGGTTCGTGTCACAGTATATGAGGGTTTTTTTCTTTTAAAAGCAGAACATATTATTTAGTTAGGACAGGCTATTACCTTACCTTAAAAATTATCGGCAAATGCCTGAATAACCCTCCTTCTTCATCCACTCTTGAACATCTTCGCGAATAAAAATAAGTGAAGCCGGCTAGGTTTTACCCTTAAAACAGACAGACTAAATAATTTAACTCTTCCGTGCAGAATCTACAGACAGTGAAATGCACAGCGACTGCTTCGCTGTGCGTGAATATATGAACAGCACGCAAAGTTGAACAAGACACGAAACCTTTCCGCTCTTCTCTGATTGGACAAAACATTACTTGATAAGTACCGTCTTGAAAGGAATGTTCACAATGCAATCAAATGATTAATGAAACCGTGAGAACGTTATAGGACTGAGTTGTGATTGGTCGTATCCGCACACAAAACATTCCGATGTTGTTTCGCTTGCCGACGTTGATAGACGCGTTTCAATAAAACTTACAAGATCGCTTTCGTGAACCTCACGCAGCATACAAATATAAAAATGACTGGTGTTAAGCAAATGCGATGTTTTCGTGATGTTTCGAAGGTTAACTTGCTTATAAGACAAATGCCGTCTTTTTAGAATATTTTAATTTTGCACAATTTTCTTTGTTTTCACCTTTCCGGTGTATAAACACTGAAAACACGTGCTTTCAATTAGTCACGGAAAGCACGTGGGGCCCTGGTAGTAGATGCTCGTGTCACGGTGTGTCTGTGTGTATGTTTTTGTCTTTTTTTTAGGGTTCTCTGCCCGTAATAAAGTACGTAAGGATAATTGTCATTATTAGATCAGTAAATTTTTGAAGAAGAGGAAATTACATCATCCTTAATAAAGGATTCACATAACTTTTAGCACCAAGAAGTATAACTACTTTCATTGCTGGAGCACTGCCACACATCTCATATTTTTTGAAAGGCAATAGACCTATTCGGTCTATTCACGTGAGCAGGGTGGTTAGTTTAAACATTTCTGACCTGGGGTATGCAATTGATAATTTCAGATTAAACTCCGTGTTAGTGTTTTGATACACGATTTGGTGTAAAATAACACACCAGTTGTGTTAAGTTCTTGCAAGATTTCTGAAACACAGACGTAGTGTAACTTTACACCGCCAACGTGTGCCACATTTCTTGATTACACCATTTTAGTGTGTTCATACACTGAATTGGTGTATCTTTTAAGAAACACTCGGCAAGTGTTATGACAACACTAATTCAGTGTTAATGTATATCTCCCTTGGTGTTAATTTACAACCTCGAATTTGCTGTGTGGAGTCGAAAGCTTGTGTACATGCTGATAAGTTTTCTTTCCTGGGATTTGGGACCTCGTTTACTCTCCAGGGCTTTTCCCTTAAAAGGGAAAAGCCCTGGGGACGAGGTTGATTAATAGGCTGATCTAGCAACAGAACGGGAACGTCAGTTGACGACGGGAAAGCGCGCGGAAAGGACTGAACGCTACTTCCGGTGGCCAATTTGCCGCTCTGTCATTGGTCAAGCCACCTGTTTGATTTGCGCGCGCTGTCGTCAACTGACGTTTCCGTTCTGTTGTTAAATCAGCCTAATATTGAAGTCAACAATCGATCGTCACGGCTTGCTTCCTCGGAAAAGCAACAGCGAAGTCATGTAAGGCAGTATTATAATGTGGCTGACCGCCATCATCAGCTGCAACATGATCTGATTATCATAAGGTTTCATTTTTTTTCACTTTTTTCTCAATTTTCACGAAAATGGCGGAAGCTGAAGCAAATCCTTCGCTTGGCGGATACGATGATGACTTTGTTAGTGAAGTTGAAGACGAATTGTAATGTGCAATTTGTAGGCTACCACTGAAAGACTCTATTTTGACGAAATGTGTGGTCACAGATTTTGCAGAGACTGCCTTTACAGTCATTTTGCAAGTTTAGTATCACCCCTTGGCTTTTCAGAACACATCCCTTACTTCAAGTTAACTCCATACAGGAGAGGGTAACTGGACAATAACCCTCAATCTTGCTCTGTACGAGTCATTACTTTGTTTAAATATGTTATGTTGTACTGTGTCTGTGAGTATTTTATCAAGCGAGTTGGACCTTGCGCAAGTATTTGACGGGATTGGTAAAGCGCGTCGATTTGAGGAGTACACACATTATCGCAGCCTTTTCGCCTTCTCGCTTACGGGAGACAGTTGCAGAAATCAGTCCTGAGAAAAAGATTTCTCTCATTGAAGAAGATTATTTTCTCAGATTACGTAACTGTGGCACTTGTCAGAGTATATGAGGTAATTAAATTTTCTTCTCATACTTTTTATAGAACAAACCTGTGTCGAGAGAACCACACCTGTGTTAATTAAGCAGACACCACTGAAGCCCAGTGGGTTCCTGCTGAGTCAATAATGTATGCGACACATTTGTTACGCATGGCATAAGCCTGATTGTTGGCAGACAAAAAATATGCTTGCAGTGTATTAGAGACCTCACTCATTGCGTCGCGTGATTCACAGCCTACTGAATATCCTTCCCTACCGTATAGCTAGAGCTTGTATCTGGAAAGACGGCTTTCTCATATAGAATATGGCTGAAGCTCGAGAAGTTGCATCACTTGGTGGATACGATGATGAGTTTGTGAATTCAGTGGACGAAGACTTGCACTGTTCAATCTGTCATCTGCCACTGAAAGAGGCCGTACAGACGGGGAAGTGTGGGCATAGATTTTGTAAGCAGTGCCTTGATGAACACTTCAGAAGGTTGGTGATTCTATTGACGGTAAATTATTGCATTGTTCGAGTTGTATTATAATGCCTGTGTCATCAGATTGTTATAAGTCTATCTAGAGGTTATTTACTGGCTTCGATACTGAGTGATCATGCTTACGGAAGCATGATGTAGCGAAGTAATGTAGAAGTTGCGAGCTGCGTGAATCTATAATTACGTCGACAGAGTTTTTGATTTTGTAAGAAAACCAGGTTATTATCCCTGAATGTGGGCCTGAATGGGGGTACACTTGTCGGTTGTCGGTAAAAATTTCATTACTTTGTCGGTCGTCGTTAAATCTCGGTTGATGATTAACAAAACAAGTTAATTATTCATATTCGTTATTTAATTCTATTTCTATATTTGTACTCGGCAAAGGTTGGCCATCGCACCAATTAACACAGTTTGAACTCTACACAAGTAAAGAACTTCTTCCTTTACCGTCAATTCACCATTTGATGGCAATAAAACCTCAATTAAGTCTGTTTTGTTCAAGCTACGTGATCATTAATTTCACCTTTGTTTGCAAAGGCTGATAAAATCACAAAACTTTCTATATTGAATTTGTTTTTATTCAGATGATCTCCGATGATCATGACTTCTCCCATGACGCCGTTACATACCTCCAGCGTGAGTTCGTAGGTGGCTGAGGAGACCAATCGAAACACGAAAGTGTCTGCCACATGCACATGTGAAGCACATGATGTCAGCAGATCTGCGTGACTGTGCTCCGTTTTTCCTTGGCTCCCTTCGTGGGCTTTTCATCTGTTCGCTTAGCACCCTTGTTGATGAGGCTGCGCCACTTTAATTTGTCTTGACTCAGTTCTTCCCAATTCAAAGACCAGCGAAGTAATCATGAGAGAATAAGTGGAAAGTGCGAATAATATGGGTCGGATTTCAATAAAGCTATTTTTAGTGACTGAAGTCTGTTTCCCGGGACGTGCACAAATACTGACTCACTGCTACCTCTGTACGATATCAAATTTGGAAGTTCCAGTTGCCAGTACCCTTCTGTTGCTATAGGCTAACTCTAATATTGACCTGCAGAGGATTTTGTCATTGAGATGGGCAAAATAATTTTAATGAGAACCTCTCAATTTCGTCAGATATATAACCTTTCAGTAATCTTAAAGCATCCTTCATACTTTTTTATGTCAAATGGAAGGCAGCTGCAGTGGTACTAGCTAGATTGCGAACTCTTAACCTTTTCGAAAGAAACTTACGATCACCCTTATAACTTCAGTCACGACTCGAGCATGGATATACCCTGGGTTACAGACTGTTATTTTTTTTCTTATCTCGGGGGCTTTCTTAAACCGTGAGCACGGTTTATTTCATCTTAGGTTTTTTCGAGAACGGACTTCTGGTCCAGGGTAGCATGGATAAACACGTGATAAACAGTACGCAGGGAAAGTACTGCAGCAGTACGTCTCCTAGGCAAGATAACCACGCGCTGCGAGGAAAATAATATAAATGAGTCTGCACTTTCCTGGATTTCCCGCGAGAAGGAGGAGAAACAAATGTGCACGATTGAACGGTCTCCAAGAAAAAACAACTTTTTAGTTGATTATTCGAGCTACTCAGCACTGCATAGTCGCTAAGTTCTCTCACGTGGAGACTAAAGTAACCGAACGGACATGGGAACTGTGTTGCCCTACTCTCAGAGAAAATCGGAGAAAGTCGTTCTTTATACCGAGGACTACGCTATATAAAGGTTCGTTATATCGAGGTTCCACTACATAAATATGTTCTTGTTTTGGTGCAAAATTAAAGTTTAAATCCTCAATACTGCCAGCAGTGGAGTCAACCTATCAATCGAAGTTTTCTACACCATGGACAACACCCCTTACTGAAGTCTAACTGTAGTCCTTGTAGTTTCATGCTTGTTTTCAATATACTATCTATTCTCTTAATAGCTTATTTTGATTTCTACAGACTGGAGCTCAAGAGGGAACCATTAAATTGTCCTGTAGATCGGAACATCCTAATACGAGATACGGTAAGTGATCTCTTACACTGTCGTCTCACCAGTACTGAAGCTGACAAGGAGCGGCTCCTGAGCCTGCTTAACTCTATTTAGTCTTTCCTACTCACTGAAATTATTTAGCTGAACTGAGCTGAAACTGTTTTTAGTTTAATGACTGATCTGATATCTTGAGGATCGGCCATTATTTATAAATGATTCATTTGTGCGAAAAAAACGAGGGAGGGATAATTTTTTCATGGGGATTTCTAATTGGTTAGAAGCCGAGTAGAGATTTTTAGCGCTAGTTAATTAATTAATCAGTTTTTTATTATTAAAGTTTTGGAAAAAAGTTTATTTTTTGCAACCATCTGCTTAGAGTCTGGGGAAAGCTATCACATGTTCTCTCCATGTCAGTATTTGCTTGGCTGTTTTGCTATTTGCGGACCTTGGAAGATTTAGCCTTAAAAATTAGTATAGCCATGAGATTATGTTATACTCACAAAGCTTATTCCTTTCCTCCTTTCCAAATGGTGACTCACCCCACTTAACCTCGTCGCAGTAGTCATTAGTTATAAGCGAACAATGTAAAAGCCACTTTTTTACCATAGCTTAGTCCGATTCGCCTTTGTTTTGTTGATGACAAGGTACGAACACCTCGTCTCGGTTTCAGTGTTTGATTACGTTGACATTTGGTCTATGAACAGGCCATTGCTGTAGTGTAGAAAAAAAACTTTTGAAAAACGGAAATGTTGTATTTCCTTCAAAAAAAAAAAACTGTTCGACTTCGCGAGTAACGCGCGGCGGGAGCTGGGGGTGATAAGAAGGGAGAAGATCCTCCCTCGCATTTCTCCTTCCCATCACACCCCGCGCGCTAGTAGGAAGAGACATTAAGAGAGGACTAGGTACGAGTCAGCATTCACGCCTGAACCGCCTGTAACCGCCCATGTGCCCATACGTCATCATTTTTAACTGTCATCGATAGACAAAATTGACACTTAAATTGTGCAGGTAAGGGATCGTTTAAACCACACCCAAATGTTTGTTATTCATTCAAAAAGGCCAGAAAAAATTCAAAGAATCAGTCCAACGTAACTCCGACTGAAAAATCCGAATAAACATCTTTCCTTCCTCGGGGTTTTCGTAAAAACCTTCCCACTGAAATGACGCTTATATTTCTCTTCGGTCAGCACCCAAATAATTTGCTCGACGAGACAAAATACCCCAGAAGGTGAATGGGTTCAAACACAATGCTCGCAGGATAGTTTAGTAAGCAAACAAACAAACAAATAGACGAAGGTTAATTTAACTCTTTTGCTTTTAGGACATTTTCCCTGACAAGGCAACAGAAGGAAAGATTCGTTCCTTCGTCATCAAATGTCCAGGCGACGGTTGCCTATGGACTGGTGAATTGAGGTCAAAAACTGTAAGTGGCGCAACTCCATGTTGTCTCTACCACCGTGATTTACCGGTAAACCTCATGTAAGAAAATGAATAGAATTGTTGGTCTGTCACAGTGTAACATGAACAGAAGTCACGCCTTCAAAACTTGTGTATTATCAGTTGTTGTCTTTAACTATAGAAGAATACTTTCAACTTATGATATACATGTTACATGGAACTCCATGTTGTTTTTTTCACCATGATATAATCGATTTACCAGTAAAATAAGAAAATGAATAGGATTGTTGGTGACAGGTACTAACGTTTTGACACTAACTTGTGCAGAAGTCATCATCAAGAGTTGTGTATCATCAGTTGTTGTAACTAACTATAGTAGAGTACTTTCAACTTATGCCATAGATATATATACATCTATTTTTGACTAATTAGGTTGAATATGATTGAGTTTTGGAGAGTGTATATCATAGTCAAAATTATATGGTAAATTAATGGAGGCTAACTATAGTTGGTTACAGTAGATGACAACAAACAACTAGTACTTTAAGGGTGATGATTATTTTCTGCGTCTTCAAGAAGTAAAATGTCAACATGGGAAAGGTTAAGGGTCCAAGCCCAAACGGTCGGAGCTTATCCCAGTTTCGTTAGCATGAAGCATGCCTTAGGCGGTATTGCTACTCCCCCCTGGACGAGGTGCTAGTCCATCGGAGACAAAGTGGAGTAAAGTTCCTTGTGTTGTGAAGAGTATTTTGTAGGTTATTCCTTCCTAGAGTTTCTTTATGGTTGGGTTTGTAGATCAAAGTTAATCAGTTGTATCGACTTGTTTTTAAATTCTATTACCTTTTTAAGTAGCTTTTCAACACAAGTGTCATTTATTAAATTTGAGTCCTTAAAGTAGGCACGTTTTGGGATCATCTCTGACCTTGATTGTTGTCTACATCAGAGTTCCTGTTTTGGTTAAGGTAGACTGTCTTGTGTGTTTAGTTGTCAAGCTTTTATTTGTTTCCCTGTACTTGAAATTATTAACCTTATAGGTTCGTTTATTCCACTTTGGTTCTCAATAGGAAATTCGTTTAAGTCATTAGAAAGTGCGTTTGTAATTTTTCATAATCAGCAAGCCCGAACGTACCTACATTCGCGTTAGTTAAGTTGCTAACATTTAGAGCAGTTGGTTAAGTTGTAGGGTGTGCAGTTAGAAGTTGGGCTGTAGACGTTAAGTGATGCTGTTGACAAAAACATTTGAGTTGCTGTTAAGAATAAAGAGCACCAAGATATAAACTCAAATACCTGGTACGACTCCAAGCGATCGGGTTGCACTAACACCCCTAACACTTGTCTAAGGAAACAACGCGACGGGCGAGGCTTGACCCCGTTCAACATGAACACTAACTTATTATGTTGGTTTTATAAAAAAGGACCACTTAACATCATGTTGGCTTAAAATGGTGGCCTGCACGAACAAGAACTGCTCTGAGACTATGACAAGGAACAACCTACAGAAACACGTGACCACCGCGTGTCCATGGAAGATTCTTCGTTGCACTCACTGTAGTGAATCACATCCGGAGTGTAAAACTGAGGTAAGAATCTTGATTAATTGCCCTGATTTTGCGAGCTTGTAGAGTAGGAGGAGCTTATCATTGACTTACTGTTGGTATTTCAAAAATAAGCCAGCAACAGCAACAACGTCAACCGCAACAAACGGTAACCTGCATTGATCGGTCACTTACCAACCTGCCATAGAGTTATTTTCATTGTCTTTACCTGTTTTTCAAATAGCTTAGCCTGTATATTTCAATGATTTTATTTTCTAGGGTCATCATGCCGAATGTAAGAAATTTCCATTGAACTGTTCTCAAAACTGTGGAGCTGTCATTCCTAGAGAAGAGGTATACTAGATTTACATTATTAAGCGCATTGAAACAAAAGCCAAATAACTTTTATAAAACAAGGCCTTAAGGGAGCGTCTGTATCCAATCAACAACTGCTGCCTTACGATTCATTTATACATCTTGTGTTAGGTAGGTGAAAAACAATCAATTTTTCTTTATATTTCGTTCACTTGTTGTATTGATTTTTCCGTAAGATACGTAACAAAATATGCAGATTATAAAAAGAAGGTTCTCCGGAGTTTACACCCCGCGTAAAAACGCTGAATATTCACTAACAAAACAAAAGTTAATTTGCTTTTGTCATGAATTTAAAGGGATAAATAATTTGAACGTGTGCCATCTCTTTAGTAAAACAATTTTTTGAAAATGGGAGGTTCACTTGATAAACATCATTCCTTCCACCCAGAATGAGCTAGAAGTAGAGAAAATTATAAAGAAAGTCCACCATACAAGTAGAAAAGTGCTTGCATAGCCTCCTTTGTAGGCAACTTCTTTTGTAACTTTTACACTACCTCCACTCTCTCCCAATTCTCCCACCGTTCTCTAAAGCAGGACAGTGGTGCCAAGTTGAAAGAAAAGTTACTTACTAATTGACGTCGCCTCCCCCTCAGCTAGGCGATTAAGGCACAGGAGAAAAAAACTGGGTTACTCAAGAGACTTGGCAAAAAAAGCGCCCTTCCTAGTTTTTCTTCTCACTTCGGCTTGTCCTTAACTTTGACATGACACAGCCGACATGTATTATGAGATAGGGACGATCAAGATGGAAAGCAGTGCATCGCGTGCATTCCCTTCTCCTCCAAACCATGTTGGCAATATACTGCTGACGCGGATACATCCTGCTTAAACAGCAAATTTTCGAGTAAACAGCCTTCAACGGCTGCACTGATTCCCAGCTGAGTAGACAATAACTGTGCGGTGCAGTGTTCCTAGATCTGACCAAGGCATTCGATACCGTTGACCATACGATCTTGCTATCTAAATTGTCGGCTATCGGTGTCTCGCCCAGCACTCTACAGTGGTTCAAGTCTTACCTGAATCATCGTAAACAGCGGACTGCCTGTAGCGATGCTGTGTCTGACCCTCTCCCGATGACCTTTGGGGTGCCACAGGGGAGCATTCTAGGACCGCTTCTCTTCTTGGTTTATATTAATGACCTTCCGCTGGTTATAAAGAATTGCGAAGTGACTTTGTATGCTGATGACACGGTCCTGTACTACTTTGCTAAAGAGCCACACCTGTTAGAAGAGGCACTGAATGATGATCTCTTGAAAGTTGCCCAGTGGTTACATGGAAATAAGTTAACTTTAAATCTTACTAAGACGAAATCCATGATTATAGGCAGTAATAGGAAACTTGTTGGTATTTCCTCTTTCACGTTATCTATTTTTGACACTGATATAAATTCTGTAAGTAGTTTTAAATATTTGGGAGTTATGTTGTCTTCAACTTTCACATGGTCCGACCATATTGAGTATATTTCATGTAAGGTTAATAAAAACCTTGGTCTTCTACGTAGGATTAAGTATTATTTACCTTATGATGCCCGGTTTTTTTTATAATAGCTTAGTGCTACCTATTTTTGATTATGCTGATTTAGTCTGGGGTGACAAGGACAATGTCTCACTTATGAAGGAATTGCAAATTCTCCAAAACAAAGCAGCTAAGTTGATATTAGATAGATCACCTCACTCCTCATCCACCGATGCATTGATTGTCTTGAGATGGCTGAATCTTGAAGAACGTAGGAAATGTCATCGATGTATATATGCATACAAGTGTATTAATGGCCAACTTAATCATTCTTTGGACATTGTAAGAAAGAGTGATATACATTCCTACAATACGCGCAATAACGATACTATCAAGCTCCCCAAAATTAAATATAATTGGGGAAAACAACGTTCGCGGTACCACTGTTTCAAAGACTTTAATGAATTAGAGAGAACTGTAAGAAACTCAGCAAGTTTTCCAATTTTTAAGAAGTGTCTTTTTTCTGCTTTTTATAATTGAGTACTTGTAGTGTGTATGTTTTAATTATTTCTGTAACTCGATTTTAGCTTGAATTTTTTTTTGTTTTTTTGTTTTTTGTATCATATATATCGATTTTAGCTTAACCTTTTTATATTTTAATTGTATTATATAATATACATCTCGTAATTAGGACCTCTATGTAAACCACTCTTGTGATGGAGCATCCTATTAAAAGATTGTTATTATTATTATTATCTCTTTTTTGCAGATTTCAGCCCACATTGAAAGGGACTGTCCACTCACAATAATTTCCTGTCCGTACTTTGATCATATGGGCTGCGAAGCTAAGGTAATACTAAGAGAAACATGTAAGCGTTAACATTTTTAGTTAATTAATATATTAATTAGTTATTAAAATCCAACTCTTTCAGTGCTTTTTCTCTAAAATGCCAATGAAAGATGAAATCGTGCTTTAAGGAATTCCGTTCACTGTCCACACATATAAAAGGTAGTTAAAGTTTTCGGGTGTTTCCCGATTTTATACCGTTAAATTCAGCAAAATAGCGTATAAATGACAACTACTTGTCCTGTTTATACTATGTTTATACTTCATACTGTGTATATATTTCAGATTCAGCGAAGAGAGGTTGAATCGCACCTTCAGGCAGCTATGAGACTTCATCTTGACTTAGCTTGTGTGAAATTAGGCGACACACAAAAGAAGCTGGAAGAGACCACAAGAAAGCTTCAGAAACTCGAGAACAGCTTCAATGTTATAGAAAAAGACATACATTGTTCTGAGGAAATTGACACATTTACGTGGAGGATAGACGGTTTTAGTGAAGTCTTGAGAAAAGCCAAAAGTGGAGAGAAAACCTGTATAGACAGCTCTCCATTTTACAGATGTGGATATAAATGCAAGTTAAGTCTAGATCCTAATGGCGATGGCGCTTTAAAAAATACTCACCTGTCAGTATATCTAACAATAATGAAAGGCAAATACGATGCCATTTTAACCTGGCCTTTCCAGAAAAAGGTGACGTTTACGGTGATTGATCAACAGGAAAAAGCAAAAGACAGGAAGAACATTGTTAATTCCTTTATTGCAGAATCCAAGCGTGAAAACTTTAAGAGGCCTGTAAAAGAAGAGAACATTGGGTGGGGCCTTGCTAAATTTGTATCCCACGAAGAACTGCAGAAAAGGCGCTACATTGTGGACGGCACAATATTTATTCAGCTTCGCATTACTTCATCCGTAGTGACTGTCTTTTTAAATTCCTGAGTAATAAAATCTTATGAATTGGCTCGCACTCTGGTCCACTCTTAACAAAGTATGTATCAGAGTTCAACATTAACCTTCTGTTCGTCTTCACTGTCGTCTTCCTTTTGAAAGTTTCATCGGACGGTCTCCTATAAACTTCGATATAATACATAGCTTGTACGTTTCGAGATCTATACATACAAATTCAGTACTCGCAGAGGTGGCTAATGGTCTTCCCGCGAATGTAAAATTCTGCACGAACTTTAGTCGAATAAAAAATCTTAGGGTGCACAGTCTGGATTTTTTACGAAGCTTCTTTGGGGTATTGAAGGAAGTAAACCTCGAAGTCTATGTTTGTTTACATAACGTTGAGCGTCTCCACATTTTTCGAATTTGAAAGAATGTAGCCTTGTTTCACCTCTCTGATTGCCATCGGTAATTTCATCACGGGTCCCGAGTTTCAACGCAATAAGGTTGTTCACAGTTGGATAAGAACTTTGAGACTCCTTTGCTCGAATTTTAAAAGTCTGGGGCTCACCTTGAGTTTCACGAGGGTTTGTGAGACACGTATTCCTAGTTAACTATTCAGTATCGGTCTCCCTACTGGAAAAGTTAAAAAGACGTAACCTGCCGTGCAAAACATGCATCTCTCCTCGCTTCTCACCGCCAGGGGTGTCTCGCAGGAGAGACGTGCGAGAGACGTGTGTCTCCCGCAACGCGAAGAGACGGCTGTATTCGCAGGCTAAAAAAGATCAGCTACTGGCCCAAGCTCGTCTTCTCACAAAGTTATGAATTTGCGCAGTGCCACCAGTACTTTAGAAAGTAACATACCGTTTTGCCGTCTCTAAAGTTTTCAATTATTTAGAGGACAGAATTAAAGTACTCTTAATTTAGAAAAGGTTTTAAAACCAAAATTGTGGGCAATACATTGTAGAAGTATCATCAATCAAAGTTAGATCAAATCAGTGAAGTTGGTATTCGTATCCAGACCTCTTATTGCGGCTTCGTCAACAAGAGATCTGGGTACGAGATTACTGGTACCGTTCATACTTGAGGTTTAATTTTATTCTAATTTTCCGACAACCCGGCGATGCTCATTTTAAACCTCATGTGGAGAAACTTTGAAATTCAAGTATTAGGCGGACATAAGGCTCATTAAGATCCAACAAAACAAAAACAACAACTTACTTTATTAAGAAACAGATAGTTACAATCTGAATTGTACCTACCCACAAATAACCTGTGTCTAGGGTCCCAGTTGTTCAAAAGCAGATTAACGCTAGCCCGGGGGTTAACTTTTTATCCGGGTTTCTTTTTCTTCTGTTAAAAAGCATTCTTTCGGATAATTTTTCCTCTTCTTTTAAAAGCATCCAATCATCAAACTGCAGACCATTAACCCGCTTTGAACAATCCGGCCCCCCTTGGGGGTTCCCTCTGTAAGCGTATGCTAGGCACTTGCTACGCATGGCATAAGTCTGATTGGCAGACAAAAAATATGCGTGCTACGTCTTAGAGATCTCACCCATCAGACTCGTACCCAGTCGCTATTTATGTGTTTTTGGGGTGAGAGAAGATTGGGGGTTAGGTTGAGGCAGCCGGGTCTCAGTACCTTTCCATGAGACCTCGCGCCCCTCAACCTATTCCCCAATCTTCTCTCACTCCAAAGACACTAAATTGCGACTGGGTACGAGTTTTCTCACCCAACGCGTCGCCTATTTTAGCCGACTGAATATCATTGCTAAAGGTTATATCTGAAAGACGGCTTCTCCTTCACAATATGTCTGAAGCTCAAGCAATTGTATTACCTAGCGGATACGAAGATGAGTTTGTGAATGCAGTGGAGGAAGATTTGCTTTGTTCAATCTGTCATCTGGCATTGAAAGAGGCCGTACAGACGGGAAAATGTGGGCATAGATTTTGTATGCAGTGCCTTGATGAACACTTTAGGAGGTTCGTGATTCAATCTATTGTTGGTAATTATATAAATTATCTCAATGTTCGAGTTTTATATGCCATCAGATATTCTCTATCCAGAAGTTACTATATTTGAACCTCCCCTGACTTCGACTTAAGGAAGCACGACGTAGCGATGAATGTAGAAGTTGCGAGCTACGTAGATCTACTTAAGTCGACAGAAACTTTGATTTTGCAAGAAAGGGAGGTTATTAGCAATGACCCAGTGAAATCGTACCCCATTTCTGTCGATGTTAAAATCATACTATCTCTCAAAAGGCCAATAAAGCGCAATTAAATGCAATTTATTCCTAGAAAGAACCGGCAACTTCCTGTATTAATAATCAGGCTGCTTAGTACTGCCTGCAACTGAAATTCACTTAGTTCTCACTCATTTAGAGAGTTGACTGTCGGGCAAGCGCAACGAAGATGGGGCTGTGCAAAGTATTAACATAATAGTCTAAAGAGGTAAAACAACACGGTTTTGAGTCATTTAAGTTCACCTATTTTAACAAAACAACGCATAACTCAATTTTCGGAATCGATCGAGTTCTGCTTCAAATCTCACAATTATTGTCTTGATTGTTAGCCAAGATTCTTACCGATGCATCAGAGGCTTTTTTCTTTCTTATATTTGTTGCAAATGCATGAGGCGTTCTTTCAAAACTCCAGCCCTCTACCTGTTGATATTTTGTTTTCAATTACAGTTGTAGTCATGTGATGGCTTTGTGCTTTACCCACGGCAGACATGCACGGTTTGCTTCTGAGAAAAAAAAAACATGAAAAGAAACTTTTGACCCTGTCGTCAAAGGCGTTTTGTAAAGTTCAAGTAATATATGAAGCATGAGGCTCAGTGTTTCATGTAATATATCAAACATGAGACGCAGTGTTTCATCACCAGATGAAACACCGAGAAGAGAGTTGAAAATACGACGCGCAGCGGAGTATTTTTAACGAACTTCGAGGTGTTTCATCTGGTGATGAAACACTGTGTCGAATGTTTGATATTTCTTCTCAAACAAAATCATTTTTGAAGGAGAAATTAAGGTTGCAAATACTGAGCAGTTTTTCATCCGATTTCCAAACACTCATTAAACATTAATTTTCTTTATGAATTATTAATGAGTTTGAGAATACCAGATGAAACACTGAGAAAAGGTGTTTTTTATCTTCGAGGTGTTTCATCTGGTGATGAAACACTGTGTCGAATGCTTGATATTATGTTTCTTAATATACTACTACATGAGACTTGATTGGCTTAGAGCAGTGGTATTTCAGCTTAATTTGAAATACCTACATGTAAAAATTACAAAACTTTCGTGGGTAGTAGTATAAATAAATAATAGCATGTATTTGGCGTAAATACCACTTGTGATATTTGAAAACTGTCTCAAATTTCACTCGCCTAACGGCTCGTGAAATTACGTATAACGATTTCGAAATATCACTCGTGATACTTATGCCAAATATCACTACAAATCATGCTATTACCTATACAAACAAAATGATTTTAGAAGGCGAAATTGAGGGTTCAAAAATGAGCCAGTTTTTCATCTGATTTCCTTTGTATTTTCTTAATGAATCAATATTAATGAGTTTGATAAGAAAGTTTGAAATCGGCTGGTAAATGTGAGCTCATGGGAGCGTGATAATTGTAATATTTTGTTATTGTTTCGTTACTTAACAATAAGTTCATGCGTCAGCGTGCCTATGTCGAGATATTGAGCACGCGGGAAGTTTGGAGAGCATGAAAGAGGCGTAAGAGTTGCGCCTCGTGCAACTCTAACCTCTTGAGTGCTCTCCAAACTTCTCAAGTGCTCAATATCTTGACATACGCACAGCTGAAGCATGAACTAATTGTTGTATAACATTATCAAAGCGATAAATGCAGCAGTTAACTTAAATTTTTCTTCTTGAAGCGCGCGCTCAAAGCAGTACTCGTCTGTGTCTACGTGACTACATATTTTTTTACCTCATAGCTATGTTTTTGTCTTAGTGAAACTGAGAGAAAGTTTAATCAAGTCGCTTAAGATAACAGTAAAAAAGATTGTAAAATCGACATTGACTGTTCCGGAAAACTATTCCTTAGAATAGTTGTCATCTGCTCGCGCAGATGACAACAACAACCTCACCTCTTTTCCCTACTATTGGTTGGTAAATTCAAAAGTTTTCTCTTAAATTTACGTTATAAAACACATGGTTAACGCTTCATTGTGTACTGTTAAGTTATAGTTGCGCTTGGGAGACGTCTTGGGAGGATTGCTAAGCTTACGAGAACTCGACGTATAGTTTATTGACGTCATCAGCGTGCTCAATGGGAATATGAAGCACGCTCGCGCTATTGAATTTGAATAGGCGAATATTCTAGCTATGTTCTAAGAAACTTTAGTTTCAGGGACCGCGGAGCAAGGTGAAAAGTGGCAGGGCTGACAATTGAAAATAACTTTTTCATGTTGAAAATCGAAAAAAGGAATAAAAACATAGTATTTGATTTGTTTCTGTCGCGTGACTTTGCATACTTTATCCAGTGTATTTGTTGCTCTTTATAGGTCGGCCAACATACACGGTCAGTTCAGATTCAATGCAAGAAAAGACGCGATTACAATTTTAGTATAGAAAATACTACACTGAAGTGATCTGAAAAATTTCTAACTATGGCCGTTCACTGTTTAAGTAATGTAATTCTTCTTGCCATCGAATATTTCATTGATTCGAAAGGAGAAACTGACCAAAGATAAAACTTTTATCAACTCAAAACAACTACTCACCTTCGTTTGGCTTGAAAAAGCTAGTAATTTTCTTCATTTCGTCTGATAAAAATGATAGAAAACTCTGCCGGAGCTGGAAGTACAAAACACGCTGCCGAAAGAAGCGAAGGGGTGGCCAAGGCATGGCGTTTGATCAAGGGGCAAGTCGGCCCCAGAGCACAATTACTGCGAAAAGCACAGGAGCCCCACAAAATGCCTGGCGTTTGAAATTAAAGAAAATACAGAGAATATAGCGGAATATAGACGGAAAAAAACTTGTTTCAAGTTTTTTTTTTAATTTTAATTATTTTTCTTTTTAGCGCAAAAAGTGGGGGCTGGGGCGCAAAAATGTGATGGGGCCGCCTCCCTACCAGCCCCTCCCCCTCCGCGGTCCCTGAGTTTATTTAACAATTAGTGAATGAGGCTGAGTATCTTATAAAGAATTATGGAGATCGAAGAGGGTGTTATCCGTGCTTTTAGACAATCAGAACTGGGGAAATATTTTGAATGAATAATAATTTCCGTTAATACTGCTCTCAGTGGAGTCAACTTCAAAATAATATTTCTTGCTCGAAAGCCTCATCGAAATACTCGAATTTCGGGGGCGAGTTTCTTTCGTTTCACCCTCACCTTTTCCCTTTTTGCTGCTAAAAGAGAAAGACAGAATATGTGGACAATGGTGAAGAGAGCTGTCAAAAACTGTTAGGGGGACAAACACGTTTTCAAAAAATCCAGCATTACAATCCGTTTTCTTGAAGTTTGTCCATCCGTGCTTTCTTTTTCGTCTTGATCGGTTATTTTTATGTTTCAACCAATTTGGTGGGCAAAACTTCCTACGGTTCGAATTTTTCTTCCATTCTCTTATTTTGATTGCTACAGACTGAAGCTCAAAGGGAAACCGTTAAATTGTCCTGTGGATCGGAACATCCTAATACGAGATAAGGTAGGTGATCATACAACAACAAACTATGGAATTACCTCCTAACAATATTAGAGCTATTCCAGAGTTAAGCAAATTTAAATTAGCCATTTCTGATCTCAAATTTGATGCTGACTGCTACACATCTGTTGTTAATCTTATCAAATTTTATCTTAATTATTCAGTTCATCAATACTTTTTTAATCCGGCTTCTGTTCTAATACTATTGATATTTATTTTTTAAAAATAATTATTTAATATTTGTAATATTTATTTTTATATTTTTATTTTTGCTATTTATCCTCCGAGATATTAGCATCTTGTTGCTTATCTTTCAATTCGATAATAAATAAATGTTATTGAAATTGATTGAAATTGAGCAACAACAAGTTTATTCAGTATTACAATTATACCATTTCTATACATGTGTTACCGATTGAAATACAAATAGCCAGGAGCGGCTCCTGAGCTGGTTTATTCTTTTCTACTTATTGTCCTTAATCATAAACCATATCTCTCCTGACACTGTACTGTCCGATTCGCTAGTTTAATGAGTATATTGGGTCCGGTTCGCTGATTATTTATGAAGAATTGTGCGAAAAAGAAAGTACAAACTAGACTAAGTCTGAGGCTTGTCATTCGCGCCATTTTATTATCTGCGTCCATCTTCGCATTTCTTTTCTAACACCATCCCATCGCCAGTTTAAATACACGATGAGATTCTGGACGCTATCACTTAAACGTTCTTTACTCCCGGTTATTTACGGCGAGGAACAAACGCAAGCGTAAGCGTAGTGCCTCGACATATATATACATATATAACTACAACGTTTTAGGTGGTTTTGATTCTCTTTCGCAACTGTTCTCCAGGAAAATGGCTCCACTACTGTCTAGACAAAATTTACTTGAGAGGGAATGGGTAAAAACCACTATGTAAAATGTTTATGCAAGCATTCTAGCAAGAAAATGGACGAAGGTTAATATAACTTGTTATTTTCTCCGAGGACATTTTCCCTGACAAAGCAACAGACAGAAAGATTCTTTCCTTCATCATCAAATGTCCACTCGAAGGTTGCCAGTGGACTGGGGAACTGAGGTCAAAAACTGTAAGTTGTGTAAATCCGTGTTGTTTCTTCCAACTTTATTTACCGGTAGAATAAAAAAATAAATAGGACTTTTATTGACAGTGACTAAAGTTTTGTAACTTACTAGTGCTTCAGGGCAGGTGCAATTATAACGTTTGTAGAGGTAGCGTTGGAAGACGTATGTCCACAGCTAGATTGCAGCGACGACATGAGATGAGTTCAGCTGTAAATTCTTCATAGGCTTGTTGCAGCGAACTACTAGGCTCAGCGTTCTAAGGTTTAAAAATACTTATACTAAACGATATAAAATTTATGTTTGAGAAAGATCAATTGGTGCTGACTGTACATTGTTAAAAGCTACGTGCAAGCGGACGCAAAAATGTATATCAACATGTTGCTGTCGGCAATGGAAGAAAATGAAACGAAATTTACTGTTTCACACCATAGTAAAACCATGTCTTCATCTCTCGTATGAACTGGTCAGGTGGCCATTCTTCAACCAAGGGTGACCACTTAACACAGGCTTGAGTGCAAAATCTTTATTGCATTTTATTTAGTCTCATCAGGCGAAGTGTAGGAAAGTCCTGCTCAGTTGTTCCCAGCGTTGCGGAGCTGTCATAGCTAGACAGGAGGTAAGTTCTGTACAATATATAACCATTCAAAAATAAAAAGCGCCTACCTTCTTGATCAGTGACAGGTCTCTTACGATTTATGAAAATGAACCTGCGTTCCTGATATTCTGGGGGTGCGTTTCTTGCTAGAATTCAAAAACAGATTTGTAATCTCAGATCCTATGGACTCTTTACTATGAAAGAAATGGAAGATCCGAAAAAAAGGATCATTGCCATGACAATGTCACCCCTTTGTGCTCCTCACGGAAATGATATGTTCTAATGAAAAATGGCGTCACCAACATTGGTTCAGTTTTAATGTCATACATGTTCGGCGCCTGTTGTCAGTAGCCCGTTTTTGTTCGGAAAACCGCTGGTCAAAATTACTGTTTTTAAATCCTTTCCCAGAATAAAAGCTCAATTGGTGAATCTCAAAAATGCGGATTTGAATTTGATCCGAGGAATCCACCCATAGTGTGGATTACAAGGATTCTTGATCCGTTTTTGGATTTGCTCAAAAACAAGCAAAATCTTCTCTGAATTCGGAAATCCCGATTTGGATTTTCCCCAAAAAACTCACCCTTAAACTTCGCTAGATAAAAAAAAAAACGGCTAGCATGTTACCTACTTAGTTTACCGCGCCACCTGTTTGCATTCTTTGTCTGTTTTTTTTTCTTCAGTAGATCAGAGGTTTTCGAGGGGAGGTTTAAGCGATTTAGAAACGGAAAAATGGTTTTAATGAATATATAGTAATTGGAACTATCTTTTAAAAATTTAATGCTGGAATCCTTTCAATAACTCAGAAGGGTTTTTAAAATTTATCAGAAGGTAACAATCTGAGTGTAATTCCTTTGTGCGTAGATAATAACAAACTTTACTTCACAAGATTAATTTTTTTCCAGAAGCATTGAAAATGAGACATATTACATCATCTAAGCGTGTTCAGTCGAAGCAAAAGTGGCCCGAAGCTAAGTCTCATGACTAGCGTGATCTTTCTACGTAGTTCTCCTTCTTTAGTTTGAAGACTCTTATTAATGAAAAGATAGTCCTAAGAGAGCTCATTGTTGAGTAAATATGAACATGACCATTAGAAAAGTGATTGGGACGGGGGGGGGAGGTTTGGCCCACAAAAGTTTTTCCTTTGGGTTTCACCACTTTGCACAACTGTTTTTGGAGATATTTTCCAGTGCTCGAATTTTTTCTTTTTTTTTCCACTTTACCATCACTTTTCTAATGGTCCGTCCCTAAAAAATCATTAAGCAGCTGCATTCACGGGACTTAACGTTCTCTAAGCCGATTTCTTACTGCAATTGTCATGGCCAGAAGATGACTTCAATAGGACTCATTTTTCAGATTTCAACCCATATTGAGAAGGAATGTCCACTCAGCATGATATCCTGCCCTTATGATCATATGGGCTGCCCGGCTAAGGTAATACTAATATAGGAAGGCGGCGGGGAGGGGAATTGTCGAGCCGCATGATATTTTATTTCTGGTTAACATTTCCCTTATATGATTTTTTAGGCCATTGTATGAATATCTCTTAGGTTACTTGGCGTGCATGAATTTAATTTTCCCTTGCACGAAAATGTTTTTGCACTTCTCCCGCTTCCCCTAAAAGTTTTCTAATGGTCCGTCCCTGAGGCAAAACAAAAGGAGGACGCATCTTTTATTAGTGCTTTCATTCTCATTTTAATCATTATAATCTGGTCTTTTTACAAACTTTGACTATCACAAAGCAGTGTTGTTTAAGTGAGGTTATTAAATATCACATGGGTTGGTTGAAGGTCCGAATAAAAATAAACTACGCACCGAGTTTTTCCCCTCTGATCGATTTATGGCCCAAACACTTGTCCGGTTATTTTCAAATGGATGTGGATCTAGAAAAACAGGAAATAGACGCCTTTAAAGAAAGAAGAGTGAAAAGACAAACAATTCGTAAGGTAGACTATCAGTAAAGGGAAACTTAAAGCCAGACTATCATACAACACAAACTATGTCATCCCCTCCTGATTACAATAACCCTATATCTTTGTGCCACACCAGTGCTTTTCTTTATATAACCACTTGAAATTTTGAAAATTCCAGCTTCTACTAAACTTTAAACGTTCATTCGTTAACGTTTCTATCACTCCAGGTTCATCGAAAAGAGGTTGAATCACATCTTCAAACAGCCTTGAGATTGCATCTTGACTTGGCTTGTGCGAGATTAAGAGACACGCAAGGTCGGTTAAATGACACGCAAGTACAGCTGAATGACACTAAAGCTCAGTTAGGTAACCTACAAAAAGAGTTCAAAGAGACCACACGAGAGCTTGAGAAGAAGATTCACGCAGTTCTAGAAAAAAAAGCTCAATATTCTGAAGGAAATTGTCATAATCATTATGGTTCTTTTACGTGGAGGATAGACGACTTCAATAAACTCTTGGAAAGTGCTAAAAGTAATGAAATAACCCACATAGAAAGCTCCCCATTTTACAGTTGTGGATATAAATGTAAGTTACAAATGAATCCAAATGGCTTTAGTAATGGAAAAGGCACTCACCTGTCCCTTTACTTGGTAATGATGAGAGGTGAAAACGATGCCACATTAGAGTGGCCTTTCCGCAAAACAGTGATTATTACGTTAATTGATCAACAAGACACTGATAATAGCAAACAGAATATAGTTGAGTCCTTTCATGTACCGCACCCTGAGCGCGATCCTAGGCTTTTAGAACAACTCAAGAGGCCTGTGTCAGTTCAAAACTCCTCTCGCTTTGGTTATAATAAATTTGTATCTCACAAAGCCCTGCAAGAAAGGCGTTACATTGCAGACGATGCTATTCTTATTCAGGTCGCCTTCACCTAAATAGATTGTTTTGTTAAAACTCTCACTGGACGAAAAAATGGATTTACTAGGGTAGCCAAATTACAGCAAATGTGTAGCAAATACCACATTTGCACAATTTTGCGCAAGAGCAAAGACTGATATTGCACTAGATTTGCTATCCGTAGCAATGACGGTAAATGCCACATTTGCACAACATTTACATCTTGGTGCAAAGATAATGGGCAGCCATGGATTTGAGGGTCATTTGCAGATGGTTCAAATGTGTAGGCAAATATGTTTCTTTGAACTATATTTGCACATTACGCAAATGATAGCGCAAATCTGCTGTTTTGCACAGCTTTTGCTTTAGATGTAAAAGCATGTAAACCTGTTATTTTCAGAACGTTTACGCAGCGTTGCAAATGTGAGCGAAGTATCTAATTTGAACAATGTTTGCTTGGGTTATCATGGGTGATCAAATTTTCATAATTGAACCAGATTGCTTTGCATAGCAAATGTAACCAAACTCTTTGTATTAAACATGTTTGCCCACGAAGCAAATGTTAGCAAACCTAAACTTTGAACAAATTTTCTAGGGTGTGCAAATTTGATCAAACACAGAATTTTGCTTGTAGCGGCAAATGTGGTCAAAAGTCAAGTTTTGAACAAAGTTGCTTAAGCAGCAAATCTGATCAAACTGTTACTATTGTACAATTTTTTCGCTCAGGTAGCAAATGTAATCAAATTCTGACTTTAATTTGGTTAGCAAATGTCATCAAACCCATAAAATTGAGCATTTTTTCACAAGTAGCAAATGTAAATTCCAAGGTTTAAACGAGTTTGCCTGAGTTGTAGCAAATGCGATAAAATTTTTAAATTATTTTTAATTATAACATGGCTCACTTCAGGTTCTTAACAAGTGGCTATAATTAATCTTGAAGTTTATAGCTTCAAACATTAAAGTTACTGAAAGAAATTCTAGCAGTGACCTCCCATTATAATGTTCAAATGATTTATTCCATAAACCAAAGTGGCTTACACATTATTACAGACTTTACAAACTACAGTATACAGCTGTACATACAGCTCTTCATATTAATTCCCAATTTTACAGTTCGTTGATGTTTACTTGTCTCCACTCTATGCTCTATCAGATCATTACTAACTATTAATATTATAAGAAAAGTGTTCTTCATCTAAATGTGTAAGATATTCTACATACAGCTGTAGGTGTTTCAGAGTTGCCTCAAACCTATTTCAGTTGTTTAGGTTTTTGCAACTCAGAAACAGGTTAAAAATCTTTTTACCCTTGGGCCAATATTTACTTATGACAAGACTATTTCTTACTTAAACTTTTGTATCTAAGGACAAAATCCTGTTCCAACCAAATGGAACCCTCAAGACACCCATTTTAATAAATAATTAGCATTTTTGAATTTATTGCTATTTACAAATTAAACAAAATTTGATTCTGGTGGCATTTTTTGTCTTTAGGCTCTATTAGAATGAAAGGCCTAATTCTTGCTACCAATTTCTGCTGGTATAACAACTGGGTTATAGCATTTAGCAAACTAAGAAATAGTTTAGGTACATGTAGCTATTCAAATTCAGATCAGACTTCTTTAACTTCATTTTTGTTACTAATGGTTCCTGTATAGTATTGGATATGCTCTTAGAGGAAGTACCAGCCGGAGCTTCTAGTACTCGCCCTGTTCTAAGAAAATTGAGGGTCATTAAAGTTATGACCAGCTGTAAGTATTCCACAGCATGTCAACATTACCATTGTCACTGTAGTTGGTCCCAATGAAAGAAGCTAATAATTATTTTAAATTCAGTGTACATGTACATGTAGTACAAAAGGTTGATCTGGCTAGCCTGCAAAATAACTACACTGCTGTCTCTCATTACTCTTTTTCTTGAGTCATGTTGCAATCCTTTGCAAAATTCCATACTAAATCATGACAAAAAGCAGGGTGTACCTAAATTTGTTTTGTTTTTTGTTCAAGCAGGTCAGTTGCAATTGCTGTAACCGGTACACATGTACTGTGAAGTGGTGCCAGCAGAACTCAAATGCCTGCAGTTAAGCAAATAGATTTAAAAGAAACATTTGTACATTAATTGGCCTTTTAACCTACTGACTGGTACATTACTTGCAAACAATAGCCAAAGGATTCTAATGAAAAATTTATCACATCAACCAATTTGATCTACCTGCCACCAGAATTCTCAGGACAAATCAACACCATCAGGATTTGTACTGTTTACACAGATTTATCTTTTTCTAAAAAACAGTGTCATAAACAGAGAGTGATTAAAGGATTACTGTATTTGCAGAGCTACATGTACATGTACCTGTAAGTATGACCAGTCATAAATAATCTGGAATTTCTTTAAGAGCATTGGATTAACTTATATTTCCTTATCACAAAGCAAATTCAGGAGCATTATCTGGTGCCTCCATCTCTGAGGAGAAGCCATTCCTCCTTTCTATTGTCATTGAGTAATGACAGGCTTACATGTGACTGTTTCAATTTTGCTTTACCGTTCAGCTAGGCAAAGAGGTTTTTACAGGCTAAGTTGTTGACTCCTCCACGCTAGAGGCCTCCTGCAAAGGACTTTTCTCAGATTTGTCATCTCCTTGGTCTGTATTGCCTTGCTCTGAAGACATGTACTCCACATTTATACAAGCTTTGAACTTACAACAATCCTTCTTCGAAATAGAGGTTGACTGGAAAAGGGTGGTCTCTTTAGCTTTTTCTGCAACAAACAGAAATTATACATAATTGAGACCATTAATATGGAAACTAAAGCTGTAGATGGTTGTCATGAAAAATACTATTGTCCTTTTCTGTCTAAATATTCTAGCCTTTTATAGCATAAAGGTTGCTATTAGATATTACATGTACTATTACTGGCTGCAGTCACACTATGTGACTAAACTTACTTATTTCCTGAGTTAACTGATATCAAAATTAACTAGTTTAAACAAATTGCTGGCTTGTAACTTTCATGTCTCAAATCTAACCCCAAGCAGTCATCATAATCCTGATTACACTGTACCTGTTAAAACTAAGACCTTCTTTGAGCAAAAACAAAATGAAAAAATGAATGGAAGAAACCCTTTTGTAACAAGACAATTGACTCCAGATAAATCATTGTATTAATTTTATAGTGAGTGTCCCACTACATCACTACCATAACGACATTATTGACATATTACTTAAAACTTCATGGACCTGCTTCTTCTGCAACATTGCCATCACTTACAGTGTATCTTGGGAACAAAAGTATACTATAATTGCCTCATATGAGGGAATCCAAGACAGTTTTAGATTCTAGATTCCACGCTGCGGATTCCAGAACCTTTTTCAGTGGATTACTTGGTTTCTGGATTCCAATTGTTTGGCCTGTATTTCAGGTTTCAAAGCTCAGAATTTAGGATTCCACAACAAAAATTGCCTGAATTCTGGATTCCATAAGCAAAAAATTAATTTCCCGGATTCCAGAATCCCTTACATGGGGTGATCATTAAAAAAAAATCAGTGAAAGCAGGGTACCATGATCTAAATTCTAGCTACTCGATGTTTTCAGCACCATGGCAGTCACTGCCTTTAATCCCCTTTTAAATTTTGGAAAAGCCTTTGGAGAAAGTAGGCACTAGAGGATAAGGTTATTTTTGGCCTTAGAGGGGAATTAACACTTGCTTCAATTCTTATTAAATTTCCAAGACCATTATCGAATTTGTCCTGTTGTTTTAAAAAATACTATAATCTTTTATTTGGTTGTTCTCTTCAGATAAATTTTATCTGAAGAGAACAACCAAATAAAAGATTATAGTATTTTTTAAAACAACAGGACAAATAAAGTTTCAGGAGTAGGGGTGAGTCCTTGTTGATTACTGAATATTGGGAATGTAAATGTAGGTATTATCAAATAGCATCATTAATGGATTAACAGTAAGAATGAACTTTCATATACTTACTGAACATTTCTTTTACTCCCGATTAGTTGCTCCCTCAGCATTTGTTTGTCCTTGCATTTCTCCTGCCTCTTATTAGTTTTACAATGTCTGCTAACAGCAACGATTCACCGAAGTCTATGTACTAAGTACTAACGGCCTGCTTTTCTTGGATCCAATCGTTACTACTTGATCGTCGCCGATGGAGCTATCTAGATGTCTTTCATGGTGGATAAGTGCAATTTCCTTTTCGTCGAACAGTCTATAAGTATGCAGTTCCCTCGAGCTCGAGCGATTATTTTTATAAGTTCTTCGAGGACACATTCGTTCGATAAATTCGAACAAATAAGACTGGCCGATTCCTCCATACTCGACAGTCAACCCCACAAAGAAGGAAAATTCGAAAACTCTTGATAAATATGGTGTTAAACGTATGAAGTAAAAGCTGGTGGCAAATCGATGGCAATGGAACGTGGTAACGGTCGACGAAATTTGGGCGATTTCAATTGTTGTGCCTCGTTCTCGAACGGTTATGCAGACTGTCGCTGACCAGCACCACTGAGGCGCAAATGTTTGGGAAATCGGGCGCGCGTTCTTTTGGCAATTTGGCGGGAGGAAGAGATTGCCTATGTTGCTGGATTTTTTCTCAAGGATATTCGAAATTGAAAAGGTAAAGTCGATGTATTTTGCTTTGTATATCGTGCTTCTACTGCCACATCTATGTTATAACCGGGAATAAACTACATTTGCATCCATATTTACATTTGTAGCATGTATGTGCACGCGTGTCGCGTGCGTATGGTAGTGATCCAGCTGAAAAAAGCCTTGTTGAAAAATTTAAGTGGTGTTAATTTATTGGTATTTGGTGCTAATTTATTGGTATTTGGCAGAAGTAGCTCAAGATTAATTGCTTGAGTAATTTATACTTCCTCTGGCGCTATATTGACATATTGAGCGTAATACCTGTACATGTACCATTGATTTTGACAGGGGTAGGGTGGAGCCTTTATTTTATATGCCTTACTGTCATTTTTTTTGTTTTTTGTTTTGTCATGTTTTCATATACAAGGTTGTTTTGTTT